CCAGCAAAGATTGGCCCAGTAGTCCATTTATTGTACAACGGTTATCTGTTGTTCTTCTCTGAAAACCAGATATTCTGATAGCCTACATTCCATAGCACAGTGTGCATTTTAGACTACGGAGAAAGGTCAAAAAACGATGGAGAAATTTGCAAGTGTCCGAGATCTGGTAGCGTCCGAGAAAGGGAACAACGATAGTAAAGAAAAGTCGTGGTTGTTTACAGAGACCGGTGTACAAACTTGATCCAAATACACGCGGCGATTGTGGGTCCACTGGCAGCCACTCGCCCGTTCATTGTACGCCGTGCGTGGGCATCCTTGTACTCCGTTGAGTCCCTTCGTCCGTCTCGAAAGTCAGTATGGAACATGCTCGCCGTTTGCGCGCCGTCAACAACAATAGCCAGAGGCTGAAGAGGGCAAATCGACGGCCATCGTGTGCCTCGGTGGCCTCTGCCGAGAACAATGGGCGCCGAGTTTCACCGCTTTTGCTCGTTTGGGAAGTGCTCTGGTCTCGCGTGGACGGTGTGTTTGGACAGTGGAGACGGCAAACGCCTTATCGCGTACGTACAGTTTCATTATGGAGAGAGCATGGACACTGAGGGAGATCGGCTCGACGTAAATGAACGTACCTGGCTGGAGCTTGCGTTTCATTTTAAACAGCTGCTGCACTGATATGGTCTACATTTTGAAGCGCCCAGAGTGCAAAATGCCTGGCGGTGTGAATATTCTAGCCACGTATCCTCTATGTCTATGCCGAGGGCCAGAGATATCGCGAGCTTGTCGTGGAAGGAGGCAAGGAGCAAGTCCCGCGTTCCGATGCGCCTCCGTCCTTCAAACTTCAAGTCTCCACGTTTTCAAGCAACAGCTTCATACAAGCCTGTATCTTTCCGTGCGCAGTAGCCATTATAGCGATGTTAAATACCTTTGATAAATATGATACAACCAGTACGCTCAAGGCCCTTAATTAAACCAAACCATCTCCGCTTCCTGACCTACCTGTCGCTCTTTCCGCCGCCGTTTCCATCGCCTCCAGAAGAGAAAGGTCACAGCTAGGCCAGCCAATACGAGGGGCACACCCAGCCCAATCCCTATTCCCAGCCCTTCTGCTGTAGCATGATCTGATGCAGCACCGGCTGGGGAGGCCGTGGGCACCGCGATCGTAGGCAGGGCACTAGATGGTGGGAGCGTCGCGGACGGGAGGAAAGACCCTGACGCTTCCGGCGCGCTGCACATTTATAGCGGTCAGTTGTGCAGCAGCATCTGATGCAGGTACCCCAGCCATCTGCGCACCTGACAGTGAGGGAAATGCTGTCGATGCCAAGGACCGCACCGCTCGGTGACGCGAGCGTCAAGACCAGGGTCGTCGTCTGCGCCTCGTCGAGGCCGACCGCCGCGACGGTGCCCCCGACCGCGGACGTATCCACGGCGCTGCTGCGCACGACGTCCGCGGGTACGGAGGTGAGCGTCATGTTCACCGTCGCGTTGGAGTCCGGCGTGACATGCACGTACACGGCGGACGCTGTGCGGCCGGATGAGTCGGTGCGGGAAGGCTGCGCGCGGGGGGTGTGAGCGGACGGACCTTTAAAGGTGAGGAACATCTGCGGGATGATGCCGCCCGATTGTGGGTCCGGGCCGTCCGTCGAGGTGGTCGTATTGGCTGGCGTGCCCGGGAGGAGCTGTATCCGCCTGTGCAATACATAGGCGATGTGTGTGCAGTGGTCGTCAGACGGAGCAGGTTCGCAATCATTCATCAGTACACAGTCGCGGAAGCGTCTGCCTGGAGTGTGAACTCGACGCACCATCCGCCTGTGCTGTTACCGCACTGCGTCGACGCATCGCACGCTGGGGGTGTGTAGGTGATGGCAGACGAGTCGTTCTCGATGGTAACGTTCTGCGCCGCATTGGCTGCCCGTGCTCTCGACCGCCCGATTGGAGTAGTGTGCGCTGCCGCTCGCGGGATTGCAAGTTGAAGTAGTGCCAACAATGATACGTTGGGCATGCGAACGGTCCAGATACGACGTCGAGGCGCAGATGGCAGACCCGGTAAGACGCCTCAGATGAGATGTTGCGTGGGGGGTTGCCATGCCATGATGGTGGCCTGGCCGCCTGGTAGGATGATTGACGCCCGTAATAGTAAACGAAGGACTTGCGTACGGTATCGTCGCATATAAGTATGCCTTCGTACAAAGCAGTCCCGTGGTGTACTGCGGCGTAGGTCCTAGCTATAATCGTCGCTGATAGCAAGAGGTTGGGCGACGTTGGCGAAGCAAGGGGATTTATTTTGGCTGAGTGCGTTTCCACGCCCCCGGGAAAGTTCATGCTGGTTCTTGACATAGTACGCCCGCGATAGAAATCTAGAGCCCCAGCAGGAGATGCGAGTACAAGAGTAGACATATTACAACCCAATGTGCATGGGCGAGCGTAGCATATTAGGAATCACAATCCTCACTCCTCCACCTTTGCCAGTTTCAATGCCCCCGAATTGCTGATAGCCGTGAACCCATGCCCACCCCACGCCTCCTTCGCACCGATTGAAGGGGGGAGACCGTCAGAGCCGAGGCGGCCCGCAGTGACCATGGCTTTGCCAAGAGTCGCGACATTTATCTCGAGCGAGGAACTGATACGCGATAGTGCGCCGGTTACATACCTGTACAGACGGCATAGCATCAAGTAGGGAACAGTGCCAAAACAGAAAGTGGAGGACGTACCCAAAGACTGTTTCCCCGATCCTGGACTCTGACCGCTGCGTGCCTGCAAGGAGGCCAGGACGGAATATGATAGTGTCCTTGTACCCGAGTGCAGCGAGCCCTTGTTCAGTCAGGCCTTTGCTCTTGGTGTACAGGAAGGACGACTTGGGGTCCGCACTCGCGACCTGTTTGACGCCGTTGTTAGAGATGAATAACAAGAGAACTTCATGAAGAACGCACCGAGACATAGACAATGCGTTGGTCCGTGCCTTCAGCTTTCGCAGCGCGTGCGGCGTTGATCACATACTCCCTGTCGATCTTCTCGAACGCCTCTGCACTTCCAGCGTTTTTCTTCGTCGTGCCCAGTCTATGAAGAAGTGTAAGTCCCCTCAATCCGAACGCTTTAACGAAATGGCATACGTGACAAACACCACGTCCCATTTCCCGTCCTTCAGCCCGCTCTCCTCAAGCTTCTCAAAATCGATCGTCTTCTGCTCGAGCTTTTCCTTTCCAGTTGCAATCCCATCCAGCGCGGTGAGCCGTCTCCCGTACTCTCCGACCCGCGTGAAGTGCTTGGAACTCAGGAGCGTCGCGAGGACGTGCTGGCCAGTTTGACCTGTCGCGCCAAGAACGAGGGCGGATGGCATTGCAGTTGGCTTAGACGATTGGATGTGGTTGGCAAGAAAAGCGAGATGAGTGCGTGCTTTGCAGTTCTGAAGACGAGCTTGGGACAACCATATTTGACAGAAGAGGACCTCACCGATGCCGACGTCAGAGTTCTCGCCAACGCCGAGCCAGGCCGAATCCCGGCAACTCAAGAGCCCGGTCTCCGGAGTGCGCACGAGCGCGCCTGCAAAGCTCACGCGCTCACGCTGCGCGACGCGACGCAGGTACGCCTTTGTACTTGGAATGTGTACGCGTTATGGAATGTACTTGCGACTCCGAAGGGGGTGCCATCAGGGTGCTCTGAATGCAATGTGATGGATACCCTTAGACTTAGTACCCGACTAGTGCACTCGACCGATTTTCAAAGAGACTGCACCAAGATCTTAATCTAACCAAGGTCAACCTTGGGCACCCCCTAAGGTACACAAAAAATGTCCTCTAGATCACTTCGTCCATTGTTTTTGCAAGTCCTGGACGTTGAACGCTGAGTTTTGGGGCGGACTCGCAATAAAACTCGCACAAACGCCAAAAAACTGCCCCACTGAGGCTCGAACTCAGGACCTTCCGATGCCAGTAGGTGCCGAGGCAACCAATGCTGTAACAGTCGGACGCTTTGACCAACTTAGCCATGGGGCAGATGAAAGTCGTTCTTTAATGGTGGAGATGAGGACAAAGGCCACTGAGATTGAGCATATACATAACACTTCCGCATTTGGGAGCTTCTGCGCTACTCAACGCTTTCGCTTAATTGGGACGATCCGAGTCTCCGAGTCCGACGAACACTTTGTAGGATAGACCAGTGTGCCAATATTCCCTACACCGGTGTATAGACGCTTTTGATTTTTGGAATGGAGATGTGTGGAAATTTTCGTGTCACTTAAATTTTCAGGGCGGACTGACTTCTACTAAGTAAAGCCTCGGGAAGAAGTCGTTCTGAATCTGTCCTTGACCTAGTCCATTGTCCCTGTGGTTGATCTTCCTGACTCCTTCTTCCGCTACGGATGCTGCACTGTGGAGTTGTTGAAGAATAACAAAATTGTCTTTAAGCACAAGAGATAACCATTGCGCCCGCCGCATAAGTCAGTGCTCTCTGGATGTCAACGTCAGATTCGACTGGATGTCATTGGTGCGACGGAGAGGTCATGGCCTAACATTTTTAGGGTAACTCTGACGGAAGCAGCAAGTGACAGCGAGCCCACTCTTTTGAGAGAGCTCGAGAAGGGAGATACGTGCTTAAACATCATAGCCCAGTACTAGTGATTTGTAACATATATTCGTACCATCCCAACTTCTTATTGTGCTCTTCGCCGCTTCAGTTGCATAGGAAAGCGGACGAGCGTCGTCGAGAGCAGTACTGTGCGAGTGCCACGGACGTCGTGGTAAAGGGGAGAGGTGACGTACGCCACCGCCGCGGCCAAGTGTGGCCCGAGTCTCTTTCTTCACCATAAGTACTACCCTTGTTCAATTTCCTTGAAACGTCCAGCTGCAGCTCACTTTCTCGACAACACACGGCTCTGAAAGAAACTAAAGCCCTACATATCCTCAAGTATCCTCGATCGCTAAGATGAGCGACAAAGACACCCTCCTCGGCATGGGCTTTGACCCCGCACGCGTCGCCTGTCTGTCCCATTTCCATGTGCACCACTCGAAACACTGGCGCTGAATGTTCTTCTCCATCTATGTAGGGGCGCTGAAGGCGACAAACAACCGCGGTTTGCAGCCCGCCATGGACCATATCCTCGAGAACGAAGGCAAGCCGGTGCCGGACCTGAGCGCGCCACCCGCACCAAGTGCGAGTAACGACATGGACGTGGACGAGGACGGCGATGAGCAGGCCGAGGCAGCAGCCCTGAGTGGTGGAGGCGATCCACAAGCTAAGGTACGATGATGCTCATTCTCCTCGCGAGCGACTTGCGCTGACCGCGTCTCAGAGCCTCATCTGCCAAGAGTGCAACAAATCGTTCCGCAACGCCGAGCTCGCCAACTTCCACGCCTCGAAGTCCGGGCACACTAACTTTGCTGAGTCCACGGAAGAGATCAAGCCTTTGACGCCGGAGGAGAAGGCCGCGCGTCTGGCTGAGCTGCGGGAAAAGATGGCAATCAAGCGGGCGAAGAAGGCGGAGGAGGAGGCGCGGGAGAACAAGGTCAACGAGGCGATTCGGCGGAAAGCAGGGAAGGATTTGGTGCAGATCAAGGAGGACCTCAAGCTGAAACAAGCTATGCAAGAGGCTGAGCAGAAGAAGCGAGGTGCGTGATATATTCATATGTAGTACTGATAAACCTCGCTCGTGCTAACCACGGTCTTCACGCAGAGAAAATCGAGGATGCCAAAGCGCGCACAGCCATTAAAGCGCAGATCGAAGCAGACAAGCGTGCGCGTGCCGAGAAGGCTGCGCGCGAGAAGGCGCTGCGCGAGGGACGCGCTGTCCCCGATGCCGCGTCGACGTCCGCACCTGCGGCTGCTTCGCATGCAGCACCGTCCACAGGCGTAGCCGGACGCGACTTCAAGGAGACGCGGCTGCAGATACGTATGGCGAGTGGTGGCGGTGGTCCATGGACGACTACGCTGAGCAGTGACGCGCGTAAGATTCTTTCTCCATGGTATCGCTTGTGCATTGCGCTTACATGTGTGTTTATAGCTCTGAGAGAGGTCGCCGAATTCGTTGCGGGCCAGACGCTCTCTGTTGATGTCGATAGTGTTAGCTTCGCACAACATTTCCCAAGGTACATAAATTGCTGTTGTTCGCGATATCTTAGGAACATTGTGTTCTGACGGTTCGTTCGTTGCGTAGGAAACAATTTGCTCGGTCAGATTTCTCCAAGACCCTTCGCGAGCTAGGACTTACGCCGTCGGCGGTACGTGCCATTCTTTCAAGGATCCCCATTGCTTTAACTGACTTGCTAATACTCGTAGGTCCTTATTGCGTCCTAGGCCGTTCGTTGTATGTCCAATCGAATCGAAGTAAAATGCAACTGTATTTCTATCATCTCAATGCAAATGTTAGTGGTTCTCTTGAACCTTCTGCGAACATGATCGGTGAATAGATGAAGAGGGTATATGTATGCTCAAGTGAGCATGTCGCTACTCGAATAGATAAAAGCACATCTAGAGCCGTAAGCAGGTCGAAAATCACATCCAGTGCGGGCAGGTTACTCATACTCCATCAACTCAATGGCACCATTAACATACCCCAGCGCGACTCGTCCCGCCTCCTCGTCCACAGCAACACGAACGATCTCGTGCCGTGGCCTCGTCGCATACACGCTGCTCGCATACATCCCGCCTACCGCCGCCGCGCCGTCCTCTGCATCTACATCCTCTAGCCCATCTGCTACCTCCTCCTCCGCGACGGGCCGGGCACTGAGCACACGCCCCGTCGCGCGCTGCCCACTGTCCCCCGGGCCGGCGCCCTCGGTATGGCTGTCTACCCAGATCGCAGTGCCCCAGCGCCCGATGCACATCGGGCTCTCCTCGAAGAGCCGCACGGGCGCAGCCAAGGTAGGCGTCGGCCCCTGCACGGGCGGGAAGGCGTATGGAACTGGCGTGTCCGGAGACGGATGCGGTTCGCCGAGGGGATTGGGCTGGAGGATCCAGTGGTGCAGCAAATTTACAGGCCACGGGAAGGCGGATCCGAAGCGGATGAGCATGTTTATCGGTGGGTGGTCGTCGGTGCTAGGCAACGCGTCCGTTCTGTGAGCGTTTCCGGCTTCGTAAGGTGCAAGAGCGATACTGTCAATGGGCCATCGCCAGGTGTGCGTTGCGAGGGGGTGGACGACGGAGGGGTTCACCGACGTCGGCCGCGTGGTGCAATAAAGAGACCGTAGAGGGTACAGCTCAAGCGTCGATTGCCGGATGACAATTGCGTAGGCACTGTTCGCCGTGATATAGACTGCTTGTGGTTTTACGAGCTGCAGAAGAGATTTCAGTCCGTGGCGTTATAGCGATCCTTCAAAGGAAGTAAAATTGAGAGCCTCACTTGAAGATTCCTATCTGGATTCTGCAAACCAAGCACCCTGTCAGGCCTCTCGATATCCCAGATCCACACGGTCACATCTTCCCCATCTCCCTCACACGCAATGGTACGACCAGATAGCGCCCGTATACGTCGTGTGTGCTCGGGAAAGACAGAAAGGGTATGGAAGCCATACACTGGCCTATCTGGAGATGGGTTAATAGCCAAAAACTCGGTGCTGTGCAGAAGTAACAGAGTAAGAACACGGGAAACATGAAGAGGCCGACGCTGACTCAGGATATTGTATCGCAACCGCCGCAGAGATCCCCGGGAAAGGGACAGCATTGACTGCCCAGCTTGTCACCCTTTCTATCCGGCGCTCTGCAACGCACAAAGGCGGCCCGTGGACATCCCAGCACTGGAAAGCAAATATGGCTTCCGGGTCCGTGCGGAACCGCCGGATGGCACTGACAGAGAAAAGGTACCGCCCAGCGTACCCTGGCAGAAACTTCAGCTCGACCACGCGAATGAAAGGTCGTGTGCCTGTATGCAAGCTTCGTGGAAGGACGAAATGGAATGCCTCAGTGCGCGAGGCGACGGGGCTTGATGCGGTCCATGTGTGATGGCGACTGAGAGCGCGTCGCGCGAGGTATTCGAGCGTGGACGAAGGGAGACTGGAGAGGTGCGGGAGAGCTGACGTAGGTCCGGATGCGACAATGATGGGAGGCAGTGGTATATGCTGGCGAAGGATGCGGGCGTGGATTATATTGAACCAAATTGAACGGTCGTAGGTGAGCGCAGAGAGGCTTTTATTTGTCTGTCCAGTGACGGATAGGGCTCAGCATTCAGAACAACTCGTACTGTACGCTGGACTGTCGGGACGACTTACCAGGCGGAGGAGGAGAATGTCACGGATAGGAAGAAAGGTGAATATAATGAAGAAAATATCCTCGGGGAGGCGTAGAAAAGGCGCATTCCCCCGCATGGTAAATTGTGGTGCGAGTTCTGGCCATTTACGGGACGTTATATGTCACTATTAGACGCCCAATCTCGTCATTTGGAGAATATGTACGGCGACCTACAATGATTGGTCTTCCCCTTGGCAATCGGCCCTCAGACCAGGAAGCTTCTAGCAAATACCGTCGTATTCGCCGCAGGGCAAGATGTTACCCTACTGGCTACCTGTCTATGGAGCAGGTTGTCAGGGAGCGAGCAACAATACAGACGTAGAGTATTGTTGCTTACCTACGTACTGCCGTAGACGCAATACTATCGGCGGAGCGATGGTCGTATAGATGTGGCTGTGATTCCACTACCGACGTCAGTACTTCCAAAAACAGTGGATTTAGGACGGCGAACTCACAGTGCTTTACACAACCGCTTGAGTTCAGAGCGTTTGGAGACCCGGTGTCGCAAGATGCTGAAGTGAGTATGATCTGAATGATGGCTATGATATTCACTTGTCTTCGGTGGGTCTGCCCTATATACTTGGGCCGCATACATGGTTCAGCCATTTCCGGCCAATGGAAGCAAGTAAATATAGGAATGGTATCATTCACGGCTGTGGTCTCCTGGAGAAACACAAGTCGTGAGTAAACATAGCGGAAAATTCGGATGTTGGGCTTGGACGTACAGAGGAGCACGAAAACCACGACGGCGGTGCAGCTCCCTCCGTGTGCCTCG